TTTATTTGACGACTTGTGGACTGTTCAACTGCAACACCCGCTGAGTGCCATTAAACAGCTTGAAATATCAAAGACAATTTTTAATATAACTCTGACTAGAATCGTCTGAAAGAAGAAAGTCATATACACCTAGGATGCTTCGAGGATAAGTAAAACACAAGCTAATTTTCATTTTTGGGTGAACTAACCCTTTAAATACAGCTAATGAATTAGAATTAGATATTCTTATGATTCATCATGCCTCATTATCTCGCTGTATCAGCCAGGCAGTCGGGAGCATTTGCATATTTGTTGCTTCTTGTAAAAAATTAAGATCGTTTTACAGACAGTTTAGCGGTACTGTATGTTAAAGTCCAAGCAACTCAGATACTAGAGATTTATGCTACATTTATGACACCAGCATCACATTGCATTGAGTAAATTTATTACGCTTTTTTTTTTTTTCCAGAAATTCTGAATCACAAAGTTTGTTATTTTCAGTGTGCAAGACTTATTTCAGATATTTTCTACTAGGCTACTAAATAATATAAATTCCCCTCTTGGCAAGTTCTTTAGATCACAGAATGTAAGACAGCAGCGATTTTCTCTGAACAGCTTTTCTGTCGAGTCAGTCACCAGATCAGCACTAATAAAGGAGAGGGCACTACATAAGAAAGAATCTGTTGAGTACTAGAATTCATTTGACCACTCGCTATTTCTGTCTCAGGCTGCCGCAGAGTCAGCGGAGGCCCAGACGATCCGCTCGGTGCAACAGACTCTCGCCTCCACCAGCTTGTCGCCAGAACTCGTGCTGCCTTCCCCTCTATCCCAGCACCCCTCGATGTCTGCCGCGGCACAGGCACTCCAGCAGGCCCTGCCTCGAGCCATCGCCCCAAAACCTCTGCAAATGCGTGTCGGCAGCAGCCAGATTGTCACCTCGGTCACGGTAGCTCATCAGAACATGACGGCCGGCGGCGTTCAGTCACAGCTGCTGGGGCAGATGGGAGCGGGCGGTCCGCAGTCAGGCATGTCGTCGCAATTGAGTCCACCAATGCAGCCCCGGCACGCTTCCATGCAGCAGCAGATGCAGCAGCACTTGCAGCACCATCAAATGCAGCAGCAGCAAATGCACCACCAGCAAATTCAGCAGCAAATGCAGCAGCAGCATTTCCAGCATCACCTGCAGCAGCAGCTTCAGCAGCACCACATGCAGCAGCAGCACCAACAGATGCAGCAGCAGCAGCAGCAGCAAATGCAAATGCAGCACATGCAGCACATGCAGCAGATGCAGCAGCATCAAATGCAGCAGCATCTCCCGCAGTCGCAGTGTTCGCCCGTGCAGCACTCGCCCGGCACGCCACACTCAGCCTCTCTCGGCAGCCCGCCGCCCCCTCCTGCGTCCCAGCCTCACCCCTCACAGGTACAGGCTCACGCGCAGGTCCTGTCGCAAGTGAGCATCTACTGAACCAAAAGCCCTCGGACCCACAGTTGCGAGACTCCACGAGAAAGCCAGAGGGAAGTTGTTATTGAAAAGCATCGTTACAAGGTTGCTTTTTTAAAGTTGCACTTAAGAAGTGTGTAAGAAATATGAATGTTTTACAAAGAACTGTCCTTTGTTCTAGATGGATATAAGATATGTGTTAAAAGGACGAAGCGTCTTAGCTGGATTTTTTGTCTATAAGATAGGCTGAGCTACCGGGAGGTCTGTTGATAGACTTGAGTGCCCAGTAGTCATTTGTATGTATATTTAGTTCATTTGGTTTCTCTCTCTCTCTCTCTGTTGTGGAGTTTAAACTCTGTCAGAGCATGATGGCATGGGAAGAACGTTCAGAGATGATCACAGAAACACCTGACGGTTTTATTTAACAGCTTTATTTATAAGGTTGGATTGGCTTTCACCACCAGACAAAATAGAAGACCGGATTTCTGTGGACGGGGAATTTCTAAAGAAGGCACTGTTTCGCAAAAGAGATGAACTGAACTGCTACTAAACTGGTCATCAGAGACATGCTGTATGACTCTTGCACTGTCTGGCCAGTGTATCGTCAAGTCTACCCTCTCTTCTTCCCTTTTCCATCATCCTTTTTGCCGTTCCCACGGATGAAACTGTTTAACAGTCACTGTTGGGAAGCTCTCAATCAAATCATCCTGCTTTTAGAACCAAGTGGTGTTTGACACATCTCATGCCGTGTTATCAAACAGGACATTTTCAAAAGATGTAAAACACTCGGCGTTTTGCTGGACTATTTGACACGCTTCCATAGATCATTTCAGTCATCACGTCTCCAAACACCTTCTGTGACCTGCTGTATGTGTTCTTAGGAAAGAGGAGAGAACGTTTTTGGAGTTCTTCTCTGGCCAAAACCCTCAAAAGCGCATTCACTCCAACATATGTAGTAACAGCACTCCAAAAAAACTTCTTCTCTGTAATTATCTTTACCTCAGAAGTTTTATTGAATAAGTTATGTTTCTGTTTTTTCTTTTGTGTAATGAAAACTTATGTTATGGGGGGGAAAGCTAAATTACTGAATTTAGGCTGTTGGTTTACTGATTGGGGTATTTTTATTTCATAATACCCTACATTTCACAACAAGGGCCGTTAAATGGGAGTCTTATCAGTTTTTTTTTTTTACTATCATAGAAAGGACATGGAAGTATTTTGTGCCAGCTGTAAAATAATCAGTGGTAAGATAAAAGAAAATGAAGTTGTACATTTTTCATACCTCTTGTTGTAAAGTTTTAATATGTGAGGCTTTAAATGCAGACGTTGGCAAGCTGACCTGTCACCTGCTTTATCTCATTGTGCTCTTTTCTACTTTTTTTATGAGTTACAGTAGCAGCAAATCATTTGTTTGTATTTTTGCTTACATTTCAAAAGTAATTGCTTTTAAAAACCTGACAGTAAAATAAATACAGTTCATGTCAGTTGAAAACTTCACCTGTTTTTAAACGTCATAAATGTCATTGATTAAGTTTTATTTTTGCCGTCCAAAAAAAAAAAAAAAAAAAACACATTAAAAAGAGGCATTCCATCATCATCAATATGATACTAGCCATAATTTTGTATTATATTTCTCTGTCTCTCTGTTTGCAATTAAAATAATCACAAATATTTATTTCAAGGAACTGATTCATTTGAAAGATTATATTAGCCATACTTTTGTATAAAATATTTCCTCAATGTGTCCTTGTTAGTTATGAAAGATTTAAAATAAAGACATCAGTACTTAAACTATTCTGTTGATTTGGGATATACAGTTGTATTTTTATTTATTTATTTCTTCAAATATGTTCTGTTTATGTTTTCCTTCATGCCAGTTCACACCGATCTCCTTTTCCATGGTGTTTCACATTTTATAAATGACCCCTGAGCCCCCAGACACAAATATTTGTGGGGGAAGGTAGGATTTGCAAAAGGCTAATTATCATAAATGCACAATAAGCACGTGAGGACAGTGGAACGCCTTTATCTGCTGAGAGGCGCTGGTGTCTTACACGTTACGCCAGACAGAGACGCCCGAACGCAACAGAAGGGAAGGAATCTGTGCCTGCGCATATCTTGTTCCACATTAATAGAATTCTCAATCTGTATTTTGTACCCAATTAGTTAATTTTGAGAATGCTTGTGCAATTTGCATGAGAGAGGCTGCAGTGATTGGCTCTCGAGTCGGGTTTTGTGTCACAGAGAAGCCCACACTCTCACTCTTTGATTAATTGCAGCATCTGTTCTGTCAGAGGGTGTAGTGGAGAGGTCTGCAGGAAAACTGCAAGTAAATGCTGGCAACAGTCTTAAAGCGCCTATGATGAAATGAAAATTAAAAACAGCGAGTACCCCACATGCCCTGAATTTCAATGGCAAGAAGTGGGGAGAGAGAAGGAGGGAGAGAGCGAAGATTGCTAAGCATAGAATGTAAGAGTGGTGTCCATGGTGACCAAACACATCCTTTAAAAACAGCCGGTAATGAGGGGCCGGGAAATAGCGCTTATTATTCCGAACAGTCTCATGGAGGGCAGCATCAATAATGCATGCAGTACCTTGTTATTTGGTAAACCTTGTTATCCGCATGGTCTCAGTGAGGATAAATATCTCACAACAAGGGTTGGAACTCTGACACACCCTTGTGATGAATAAATAAATAACGGTTTGCAGATATTTTCAAAACTGATTATATGTCCTAACAACAGCTGATGATGTTGGCACACAAGCGATTGGGAATTAAATTGTGTGCCGTTTCAGGGACAGAAGAAAAAACTGACCATCATCTAGACCTCATTTAAATTTAAATTTATATAATATATAATATACTTTCCATACAGTGCTATTTAAATGCTTGAATGCATAGTTTATCTAAAAATGAAATTTCTATCATCATTTAACACGCTTATGATCCTGGACCACAAAACCAGTCTTAAGTAGCACAGGTATATTTGTAGAAATAACCAAAAATATATATACCGGTATATATTTTTTTATTTGGCAAGAATCATTAGGATATTAAGTAAAGATCATGTTCCTTTAAGATATTTAGTGAATTTCCTACCATTAATATATCAAAACTGATTAGTAATATGCATTGCTAAGAACTTCATTTGAACAACTTTAAAGGCGTTTTTCTCAGTATTTTGATTTTTTTGCACCCTCAGATTTCAGATTTTCAAATAGTTGTATCTTGGCCAAATATTGTCATATCCTAACAAACCATACATCAATGGAAAGCTTATTCAGTTTTCAGATGATGAATAAATCTCAATTTAGAAAACAATTGACCCTTATGACTGGTTTTGTGGTCCAGGGTCATATTCATCTATATATATATATATATATATATAGATAGATAGATAGATAGATAGATAGATAAAGAAGAATATTTCAGCTGTTTTTGTCCATATAAATAATAATATACATAATGTAGTCTTTTCTATGTTCCACAAAAGAAAGAAAGCCATACAGGTTTGGAATGACATGATGGTAATTAATGACATAATTTATATATAAATATATATTTTAAAGTAAAATGTTGCCATAAATTCTTCAAAGCAAACATAAAAATCACCTTGACTAGAATTGTCTATCTATAGAATCTAGATCAAACCACAGTCACATGATCGAACAGTAGTTTTATTGGATATAACCTAATATTCCACTGCTATTCATCACTCTGTGTGTGTGTGTGTGTTTTAATTTAGTCTATGTTAAAGACATAAAAAAGGAAAAGGTCATATGCACTGTGAATGTCCCATTTTTGTAATACCAATCAATGATTGATTGGTGTCTTTCATTACCCTGCTGTCTGCACAGATTCAGTGGGAGCGGTGTGACTAAAGTTCTGTGTCCTGAGGCTGAGACTGTGACCTCAGTAGTTTGTGGTGTCTTTGACTAGTTTCCATCAGAGCATGAAAAGAAATGACCATAATTTTTATTATTATATCACATTTGATTATACTGTGCTTTCTACCAAATTCAAACCTGTAAGCCTGCTGTTGTGAAAAGACAACTTCATTTTTGTAGTTAGCAATCAAGCATTTTCTACCTCACTGAATCTTGTCAGTCTTATGAAATTTGAATAAATGTTTGTGATCGGTAATTTAAGGTAATCATTGACACAATTTCTTGGTTTCTGATAAAGCAATCACTGATAAAGCAGCTACATGACAGATGGAGAGTTTCTGGTTGTGGACATTGTTTGTGTAGCTTAGCAACAATAACCAAATAGGGTAGAACTTGAATAGGGCAAAGGTCATCTCTAGCCACGGAGCATCAGTAACACTGTCCGGTAGGCCATGCCATTAACAAAACGAAGCCCTTCCCACCCAGCTCCCAAACAACACATGCAACCTTTGACCTGACTTCAGACACCTGGCCTTGCAGTGAGTGAAGAGTTTCGCTGACTAGCTTTGGGCAAGATCCTGTTGATCCCTGGCAGCTTTTGTTTGCACAGTGTTGACCTCTCAGTGAGAGAGAGAACTTTCTTTAGGTGCTGTTGACCTGCTGGTGCTGCTGTGAACATTTGCATGAAAGATTCCCCGGACTGAATGATCGGCTAACAGCTGGGTCTGAGGCCAAGTAAAGAACTTGACTTTCAAACGTTTGTCTTTTCTTTCTTTTATTTACTTTCTTTTGATTAAAAATACCTTTAAAGCAATATTCTAGAACACTGTGATGCACTGGTTTGCTAATGAAATTAAACTTTAAAACCCTATAAAATATTACACTATAAAACACTCATTTTACTAGTTTTTAGATAGTGTTCATAATGTGTACACTAACTAGTATAACATTTATTACTCTTTTGAATTTTATATAATTTATGTAATTTTAATTAGTATTTTTTTGTTTAGCTTTAATTCATTTATATTTGTTTTAATTATAATAATTTTATGCTATGCCACACAGAGCACCAAGGCTTATACTTATGTTTTTTTTCTTCATATTTTTACTCTCTATTTATTTGTTATCATGCTTTACAGTCTTTCTGAAGAAAAATACTTCTTTTCACAAGTGTTGTTTTCACAATTAGTATTAGTTTGTATAGTTGATTGCCTTGATAGTGAGATGAACACCATACAGTATGTTTACTCAGTACAGTTACCACCAGCCTTTGCTTTTTAACACCACTTTATCAAAGCAATGCTTCAGCCCGATTCCTCCCAAGAACAGATCAAATGAGTTTCTAGCTGTTCCCAGCAGCCCTCTCAGCTCTGCCAGAAACAGCAGAACTGCACTAAATTGAAGTTTAAATTCCCAGAAAATAGTTTTCGCTAAAGCAGGATACTTATACGCACTTATTAATGTCAAGTGAGATTATTCTGTGAAGCTAAATTTCACGCCTCCGCTGGAACGACGAATACAATGAAGCCCTCGATATTTTAACTTCAGCTAGTTCATTCTATAAAATGTCTTACATATTATGAACTTTCTGAATTTAAGTGAGTATAATTGCAAATTCTATTCATTGTTCTCCACAGCTAAAATCATTTGAATTTGCTGTCTTTAAATATACCAAGGTTAAGTTTGCAGTACAGCACTCCAAAAGATTTTCTTCTTCTTAGCTCATAAATATTCCATGGAATATAGCACAGCAAAACATAGCACAGCCAACGTCAAGATATGCTATGAGATGTTCACAAACTATTTTATTCCCTCAGTTTTCAGCTCTTGACCGCTCTCAAAGTCCAACTCGGAGAGTTAAAGGTCATCAAACAAACAATCCTGCTTCAAAATCACTGGGGTGAACGAGCCCAGAAATACGACTCTGTTTCACCTTGCAGGCAGAAAAAAAGCCAGCCGTTCTCAGGAAATCTCCAAACATAGTTAACTGTGCAGTCAGTATTTCTGAGGCCAACACAAACAATGTGATTTGGTATTCAGAACCAGTTTGCACATAGCTGGAATTTCTCAGCACTAATGTTACTGTTACATTTATTTAACGGTCAGGTAGAGATTCAATTTAAAATCGCATTGTGAGCCGGCATTAATTGAGGAATGTTTGCTTTGTTGTGACAGAGAACTAAACTTTGTAGCTGACAGTTGTCTCTGGGAGAGAGAGATAATTCATTCCATCTCTTTGGGTTGCAGAATATAAAACCATGTCTCGTTTCCCCCGAGTTGCCTCTTTCCAGTTCCTCTTCAGTATTCTATGGACTTTGTGTTCTTCTGAGAAACCTGTTTGTGTAGCTTAGCAACAATAACCAAATAGGGTAGAACTTGAATAGGGCAAAGGTCATCTCTAGCCACAGAACATCAGTAACACTGTCCAGTAGGCCATGCCGTTTGCCCTCCATTAACAAAACTAACCCCTTCCCACCCAGCTCCCAAAGAACACATGCAACCTTTGACCTGACTTCAGACACCTGGCCTTGCAGTGAGTGAAGAGTTTCACTGACTAGCTTTGGGCAAGATCCTGTTGATCCCTGGCAGCTTTTTTTTAAATAATGTTGACCGCTCAGTCAGAAAGAGAAAACTTTCTTTAGGTGCTGCTGACCTGCTGGTGCTGCTGAGAACATTTGTATGA